GGGGGTAGAGATAAAGAAAAGAAAAAAAATGTTCTTCTTTTTTGTTGTGTTTTACTGTTTGCCAAGGGTTGGCTTTTGTGTTATCTCTGTTTAAAGACGAATTTAATTCTAATCGTTATTAAATTTAATATTAAATTCAGGTTACATTTAACTTTCTAATTTCTTGTTTGTCTGTACAACTTGGTTCTTCCCATTTTTAGTCGTTACCTAATACTGAACAGAACTCTTTTCTTACAAACTATATAAGTTAAACTTTTATTCTTGTTCATTATCAATTATTAGATGTCTCCTGTTGCTAATTTTAGAGGTCTGCGTTATAGCAACTGGAATGCACACAGCGTCCTAAATAAAAAATCAGAAATCGAGTCACTACTCCATATCCACAACACTTAGACATACTAATAGTCACAGAAACCTGGCTCACGAATAAAGTTCCAGTATGGCAAATTAAGGGCTATCTCACTTTCCGACATGATCGAAAGAGCGATCATCCAGGGGGTGGGGTGATGATCCTGGTTAAAAGGGACTTAGTTGTTTCCTCTATCACAATTTCAAACTTAACACAGAGACATCTTGACTGTGTGGGAGTAAATATTATCACAACTCAATTTAAAGTTCAAATCCTGGGAATATATGCTCCTCCTAACATTAAAGTCCCTATGAAACAATGGACCGATCTTATTGAGAATTGTTCTTTGCAACACCCGATCATCCTCCTGGGAGACTTTAATGCTCATTCCTGGGCTTGAAGCTCCACTTATTGTAATATGAGGGGCAATGACCTTAATCAGTTGATCGATGATTACAATTTGGTTCCGCTGAATGACTCCATGCCAACATACGTAGGTGGTGACGGTAGGAGTAGCAGTAACATAGACCTAATTTTTGTCTCTTCACAACTTTGTCAGTTTTCTCGCTTTAAGGTGGTCGAGGAGACTTACTCCTCGGATCATTATTTGATTATTGCTGATCTGGATCTCTCCCCTAAATTCACTAAATCTACAACTAACCGACTTAATCTTAAAAAAGTAGACTGGACGGAATTTGGCTCCCGAATTGACTCTTCCGTTGAAACCCTTGAGTACAATCTTCAAGAAAATGATCAACCTCTAGAAATCTACAAACTGTTCATTGAAAATATAATTCGGTGCTTGACGGACTCTGGGGCATACTTTCCTTCGAACCTGAGGGGTAGGCGTAAGTCCCAACCTTTATGGTGGGATGAGGAGTGCGACCAGGCCCTGGTGCGGAGGAGGGAGGCTAGGAAAGAGTTCTTACGGCTTCAGTATGATTTCAATCGAACGAGGTTTAATGAAATTGATAGCGAGGTAAAGTGGTTCCTTCGAAATAAAAAGAGGGTCGCCTACGTCGAATTCTGCAACAGTATTAGTCCCTCAATGGGAATGAATCACATTTGGTCTAGGGTTAAAGCATTTGCTACGGCTACCCAGCCTTTAAGAACGGGGATTAATACTGACCTTGACTCAGAAATTTTCCAAAAACTACAGAATGACCTTGTCCAGGAGGAGGTCCTACCAACCTTGCTCCCATTACTCACAGACTTTAACAGTGATTCTCTGATTAACAAACCTTTTTCTGTAAACGAATTTTATAGCACCTTAAATAACATTAAAAAAAAAACACCTCACCTGGCCTAGATTCTATTACATACTTTATCATTAAAAAACTTCCTTCCAAATCAAAACAATTCTTGTTATCACTTTTCAACACCATTTTTACTAAATCAATTTTCCCTGAATCATGGAGAGATACTAGGGTGGTTTTTTTGCCCAAACCACATGGGAAGGGCTATCGCCCTATTTCTCTCACTTCAAATATTTGCAAACTTTTCGAAAAATTAATTCAGAGAAGACTTGAACACCATGTCGAATATTTTGATGGTATTCCTACGAACCAATTTGGATTCAGGAGGGGAAGGTCGACGACGGATTGTGTTTCGGTTTTTGTGACCGACGTGATTAGGGGCTTTACTAATCGTGAGCATACTCTCGCCCTGGCGGTTGACCTGAAAGGAGCATTCTCTAATGTCCTCCCCCAATATATTTATAATAGATTAATTGAATTGGAAACCCCTGCTAATATCATCAATTTTATCTCTTTTATTATTTCAGCCAAACACTTATTTTTCAATTCCGAAGGTAAAGAATTTAGGGATTTCTTCATAGGTGTTCCACAGGGTGGAGTTTTGTCTCCGCTGCTATTTAATTTGGCGCTGAGTAGGATCGGTGATGTTATTCCTGGTGTAGTCAAGTGGTTGATGTTTGCCGACGACCTGCTTCTCTACGTGACAACCAAGGACCTTCAGTCTTCCCTTCGCCTCTTGGAGAGGGTAATCACGGATCTCACTCCTTGGCTCGCTGAGGTGGGCCTGTCTATATCCCCGGGAAAGTCCCAGCTGACTATTTTCTCTAAAGCAAATGAGTCTTTTGAAAATTGTTTTGTAGAAATTGGGGAGACCATGGTCACAGCACAGACGGACTTGACTTACTTGGGTATTATCCTGGACAGAAAACTCACCTGGCAAAAACATGTAAGGGAAATTTCACAAAAGGCTACCAAAACACTCAACTTGATTAAGTCGATGACTAGAATTTCTTGGGGGGCTAACCCTTTATCATTGCTCACAGTATTCAAGGGATTAACTCGTTCCCACCTCGAATGGGGTAGTCAGTTCTTTGCTGAGTCCGCTCAACATGGTTTGAAGTCTCTAGATCGGATTCAAAGCCAGGCACTGCGAGTTATTCTTGGCTGCATGAGGTCAACACCCATCAGTATACTCTTGTCTGAGTCCAACATCCCACCTTTATCTCTTCGAAGAACTCTTATTAATCGGCGTCACATGATTCGCAACCTGTCCTGGACGTTGAACCCACTTTCCACTAAATTGCTTTTTCTACAAAATAGAATTAACTTAAATAACCAAGATCCTAATCCTAACCCTACTCCAAGAATTCGATCATCTTTGTTGGAGACGTTTAGGGACGTATCTCAAATTATGGGTAAATGCGGCAAAATCAAAAAGCCCTACCTCCAGTTTGAGATGTCCTGGAATGATCTCTCCAGAGATATCGATGTTGACCTCCAAACTGGTTTGGAGATCAAGTCGCACTCCTACTCGGCACAGGCTTTTTCTGAACTTCTTTTTGCTAAGTACGAAGACTACATTGATATTTATACAGATGGATCACATGATCCAGTTAGGAGTTTCTCGGGTGCAAGCTTCGTTATTCCGAAATTAAACATAAACTTTAGTGTTCGACTAAGTGGCCTCATGCTGATAGACTCATGCGAGCTTTATGCTATTCTTTCTGCCGTCAAGGAGGCTGTTCGATTAAATCTGGATAACGTATTGATCGTGTCTGATTCGCAAAATGCTCTTAATGAAATAAAACATCGCCTAAACAACCCCTTGCTTCATCCTCTTCTAAAGAGGATCATAACCGAGATCAGCGCCTTGTTGGATAGAGGTAGTAGAGTTTCGTTTGTCTGGATCCCCTCTCATTCGGGCATCCGGGGCAATGAACTTGCGGATGGTTGGGCTCGGAATGCCCTATCCCTCCCCTTCGGTAATCTTCAGGGTGGTCCTCCGTGTGATCTTCTTCGGTTGATTGGCAAGGATTACGAGCACTGGCTGAATCTCTCCTGGCCCTATTCCTTCTCCACTCCTTTATCAAATAAATATTTTAATTATATATCAGTCAAAACAAAAAGGCCTTGGTTTCGGGGTTTTGAGACATCGAGGAGAAATATCAATACTATAACTCGATTGCGTACATCGCACATCTGTACGGGAGAGCACTTCGCCCGGATGGGTTGGAACTTGCCTCTGGGATGCGCCTGCGGCAATGATTTTAAAACTCTAACCCATCTATTTAAATTCTGCTCTCTGCTCAGAGACCAACCTTAGAATCATTTCTTTTAAGAAAACTACCAGAATTTGATTTCGATGAGTTTAATATTGATTAGTTAATTTTCAATCCGGACCTTGAAACGGCAATTAATTTTGGTAAATTTTTTTCGAGTGGGAATATGATCATATGATAACAAAGCTTGAAACGAGAAAAGAAAAGAAGAGCAAGGGGAGGAAAAGAAAAAAATATATATATATGTATACTTGAACCTCTGATTTAGTCATATTTGCAGTTGGTCTCGGATTTTCTGGATGGATTTTCGACTTAAATTGAATTGAATTGTATACCTTAAGATCCTTATACCTCCTCCCTCTCAATATGGCAGTTGACCGGAATAATAGTAATGATTGAATTGGACCCACAAATCAATTTACATCGCAATTTACTCTACAACACTATAATCAATGTACTGATATATAACTGTGCCTACAGAAATTTTGTTTACTTTTTTTAAAAAAACACAAAACTTCGCGCCACTGCTATCACTGACGCTAACATCAGAAGGAGGCTCATCCGCCCCTTCAACCAACCAATGCTAATCTCAACGGATCCAACGGAAACTATCGCTCGATGCACGAGACAGCTTGCAGCTTTACAACACCCGTCATTCGAGTAATTGCGGACTACAAGCTTGATACAATCAGCTGAATCATCTTGGACAGAAACAAAACCAATTACGGATAAATACGCTTAATTTCTATTAAATAGTACTGGCTATTTGTACATACAAGAGGCCATTAAAACAAAAGAAGAAGAAGAAATTGTTTTCCAATTGTCAAAACTTGACAAGCAGAAATGCCAACGACGAGACACGTCTGGCACAATTCAGTACTGATTTTTATTTTCTGACCTAAAATCTTTACAGAAAGTACTTAATGGTTTTATTAACTCTCCTAAAATATTATAGGTTAAAATAAATAAATATTAATATTATATATTTATTTATTTATTTATTTTATTTTTTTTATTATATATTTATATTTATTTTTTTTATTATAGGTTTGTAACAAAAAGATATAGTAATTCTCGCAATTGTAATATGAATTATTTACTATAATGTGACTATGTGAGTGCTGGAGTAGAATATGGAAAATTATAACAATTAAATTACTATTAAACATTTGTGTTATAACAATTAAATTACTGCCAAACATCTAAGACGTCGAAAGATTGACATTTAGTTAACAATCATTGTTCAAATTAACAACATTAATTAATTGTGATAACGAGTAGAAATTTATATCAACTATACAACGGCATGTGGTTTAAATATTAAAGAGAGATTTCCCTTTTATATTGTTATCGACTTATGTGTCCTGAACTTAGAGTGTAACGAAGTGTTTCACTTACTCTATGAAATTTGTCATGTGTAGGGAAAGTATATATTTGGAAGTATAGAGAGTCGTTTGATGTCCTTTTCTTATCATTGGTCTGATTAACCGAGCTTATAATTTACTTATTCAAATTTTAAAAGACATTTTTAACTTAGGGTCCTGCTTACCATACCCGGAGGAGATAATGATCCCGGTGAGTGATGAAGAGACCTATAGGCAACGCTTGCGTTAGGTGCTACATAAAGTAGATGTAACTTTCGATAATTTGTGACAGCATCGGATAATGAATTTTAATTTGTTGTCGCAATTGTTGGCCTGCAAATGCGTTCTCACACTCAATGACGCCAAAAATTTTAAACTTGTTACAAAACAATGCATACAGTACATAGACTAGCATGATATGAATAAAAACAACACCGCTATGATCGTACTGAGATTGCTGTTGTTGAGTGGAGATAAGTTTCGTAAAAGACAACGAATCTAAAGCCACATACTCTAATTGATGTAGTTGGAAAATTTTTGCAATATTCAGAATGTATCGTGATGTAGTTTTGCGGCGATGAATCGAAACAAATAGGCGTGATGGTTTTTTAGCCGATAAAGTTTCAAAAATCCCATTTTTTAAAAGCGGTGCCATGTAAGGAAACTCGTGTAAAATTTCATCCTTTGTAAACTGTAATTCTGGAGTGCTATCATTGGGAATCTTGATTTGAGTTGTAACGAAACGTTGCAATACTTCCAAATTTTGCATCAGTGTTTCTTGATTTTGGTTTACGTGACGAAATATGTCATTGACATTATCATCATCAGTAGTATTACATATATCACTATCAACATCAGCATTGTCACTGTCGCTATCTGTGTTATTATTACTTTTTTCATCGGATGTGTTTCTTATATCTTTGTCATCATTACTGTAGACTTTTTCATTATTTTCGCCTTTACTCTTAATATCGTATTGCAAATTATAAAAGTCTTTATAGAGTTGTTGTTTCCTTTGATATTCGAGTGTTTTAGCTAAGTTGTTTGATTTTTTTGCTTTAAGAATTTTTCGCGGCATCATGTCTGCAAAGAAGTATTATAAATCACAAAATTTGTTTTAGGATAATTATATTTTAATATATGAAAATTAATTATTAAAGAGGGACTTTCGCAATTATATTTTTTTGTATTGACAAAAAGTTGTTGAATATGCTTACTGGTGATAATGTAAAATAATGACAGTTGATGTTCCCAATTCCTAGTTATTTATTCAAGAAATATTCTGTATAACAGAGAAGAACTAAATGCGAAGTTACTTTTTGTCTAACTCTTAAATGTCCTACAAAATTAATCGTTGTGTTTCAGTGTAGTATTGTTAATGCTATTATACAGATATCAAAATAAATTAAAATACACTTTCGTGACAAAGCGTTCACATGGTAGACGAGAAGTTTCTTTTGTAGTCTCGAATCATTTAAAATGAATATTAAAGAAAATAATGGTAAACATATTTTATGTACTTTGGAGTAAACGCGTATATTTTGGCATAATGTATTTATACATATATTTCACTACTCAAAATTGTCGAGGTAATAGAAGTCTAGCTGTACAACTTGTTTGAATCTAATAATGTATTTAGAAATACTTACTATTCAACATACATTCCTTGTGGGCATCGGGTCATAGTTGTCTTCAGGGGATCCATATTCGTTCAAGAGAAATCCTAATGACTTTGTAATATTACTAAAATTACAGTAACATTAAGGTAAAAAAATGTTAAATTTTAATTTGATAAAATTTAAAGTTTAAAGATTTAATAAACAATTGGTGACAAATAAAAAAACAGACGTTATATGCAGAATTATATTACCTTTAATTTCCCAGTAAGAATAAGAAATATCCGGAACCCAATTTGTCATTCAAATCAAAAAAACTTATTGTTTTAAAGTACATATAGAAATGTCGATTACGAACAAGAAATATGAAATTTTGTTATGAAAAAATGAAACTTTTAAACAATAATTTTTTTATGACAATGTCAAATCGGGTCAATAAACGATAATTTATTTTTAGCTGATGCTGTCAACATGAAATTTCTTAAAGAACTTTGTCGTTAAATTTGCATATAAAAATGAGTATTTGGAATACTATTGTAAGTGTTGTGGATTTATTTGTATGATTTTGGATAATAATATACCAGTGAAAAGTATAAATAAAGAAATTGTTAAATGTAATTAATGAAGTACTGAATTTTAATTGATTTTCGTTACATAAATTTGATTTTTGATTTGTCAAATATCAAAACAAAAACTTTTTGCAGATTACAATTCTATAGATATGGCGTTAGCATCACAATTGCTTAAGGGGTAGTATGGTGTTGGCGCATGTTTTGAAAGCTTATTTCAGAATGTTCTTTATTATATATTAAAACATAATCACTCCAGTGGGCACACTTGTTCAAAAGAACCCAAGGCATCTGGGTTCAATCCCATATTTTCAGAAATTTTCTTCAATATTTATGTAGATTTTTAAAAAATATGAAATTAAATTCAAAGTCAATTTAATACATCTAACGATGTAAATCGTCTTGTCATCTGTCGAACTTTCCACCCAACCATGGTTGATGTTTGTTCAATGATCTTGGATCTTAAAAGGGCACTTTTACCATTTAAAATCAATGCTGCAAGTGCCCTTTTAAGATCCGGAGCCTCAATTAATCTTTAAAGTTAATTGTCACCTGACGGCGAGATTTATTGATATAAATTTCAATATTTAATTGTTGTTCTTGAAAGCGTCAGATTTTGCTTTACGTAGAGCAGAAAATTTTATTTTACTAAAATTTATAAGTCACATACAATATCACCGTGTTTTAACTTATTATAAACTATTGTGAAGAAAATACGTCTATTGAAGATGATCTGGAGGAATGTGAGAAGACGTCTTTTAGAAGTCCTTTTCTGTGTGTTTATGCATATTTTATTTATTTTTGGGATCAGATATTGAATGTCTTAAGAAGCTTCTACAATTGCTGCCAATGTAGATGCAAGTATCAGTGCCAGTGTCAATCCCAGCGCTGCCACCCACATGCATTTGAGGTCTATTGTAAAAACTGCTTAAGACCTTTCTCCAATAGGATCTAAAAGCATATTTCGGAAAAGCGTTTTGTTGATTTTAGCTTATGTTATGTTGCTATAGCAGCAACTTACGTAGTGTGTTTGTGAAATATACTTTTGGGATTCTATTAGAGAAAAGGGTTTAGAGTCGTCTGTTATTTGTCTTTATGATGTCTCGGAGACATTGCCATCAATGTCCGCTGACAAAAAGGGACATCTTCAAGACGTTACATGCCCACTGGAATAATTATATCTATAGTTATAAAGTTATATGCGATTTAGTCTCATGAAGCCTGTTTGATATATATTTGTTTATTTTTAGATTAAGGGAATCGAAGCCTGTTGTTGTACAATGTTTTTAACAGTAAAGATGGATTAGCTTTAGCACTAAATAACAATTAAGTAAACAGATGAGATACTAACATAATGTTTAACAAGTTGATAAATTAGGCATATTCTATTGTTGATATCGATGACTGTTGTCTTTTGAAACATAGTGAATGTTTTTAACGGTGTAATAAAAAATGTAGCTTATTTTTAACAGTTTTTGCTTCATTAACAATATCATTTAAATAGAAATATTTATCATGTTTGGTTTTGTGGAAATCTAGATTTAACAGTGAAACTTTTAAATTTTTAATGTGAGCTGTGAATTTTAGAGTATGTTCAGAATAACTAATAAGTGTAAAACTGGGATCGACTATTACCTTGGATTTATGGTAAAAGTTGATCCTAGTTTGACACTTGGGTAGTGTTACTTGTAAGTTAATGTTCATGTAGCGCGTGGGTCGGAATTCTATTCATGCTCAATACACTATATAAACTTATAACTGATCATTCTGGAAGTATTTCTATAACAGTAAGCAATGTGGGACAAATTTTTATACCATCTCTAATTCTGTATAAAAATAACAAGTTGGCGTACAGAAAAATCGGCGACGGATACTTCAAAATAAAATATTAGTTACAGATATCATTGACTTCAATTTTCTAAATAAATAAAAGTACCTTATAGAATTTATTTGATAAGATTCTTTGGCTTTTTAATAGTAACATGGAATTTTATAAACTTAATATTTGCCTAAAAATGTAAAATAAAATTTTATTTTTGCTGGAGAAAAATCTCTTAAAAAATTTCTTTTTATCAAAGGCTAACAATTTTCACTATAAAAATTAAGCGGAAAGCTTTTAATCTACATTATAATCTTTATAAAAAATAGCTCAAATTAAATAGCATAAATATAATTACACTTTGTTTTAATACTGATAAGAACTAATAATAATATAATTTATTCCGAACTTAGTTATTTTATTAAAACTTATCTTAGCACTAAACAGTTTTGTGAACATTGGTAATGTGAATATTTCATCAGTGAGAAAACTGCTTGAGGTAGTTTTAAAAACTTATTCTTAAGCTTTACGTACTGTAAAAATGTTTTTCTTATAAATAGCTCTAGAAGGCAGTTGGAAGAAAATGTTTAAGAATGTTTCCAGCTGAATCTTCAACAACAAGCATTAAAGCTGCAATCACGTTGTGTGAACAAGGGGGTACCAAAGTTTCCACTGGAGGACGAGGTCCATGAAAATGTCTAGATGATACCACCATTCCGCCAGAATATTCTCGTAGTTCTATTACTCTGATTCCATGATGAGAACGCACTAAGTTTCTAAAACAGTCGTAAACATTTTAAGTATTTTGCATAACCATAATTAAAGTTCAATATAATATTGAATAAGAATAAAATAATATGACAATTTTTAACTGACCTGTTTGCATCATATTTAATGTCATTTTGATCTCGATGGCTAATTTTCTCATTATAATTATTAAACCATCTATGATAGGCCAACAAAGTCGCACAGGAAGTACCCCAAAAAGTTCTGTCAGATTGAGATCCAAGAGGTTCAAAATTAGCATTAAAGACAGTTTTCAAAAATGTTCTCTTTAATTCTGGACTTGCAGGAGCAGATAGTCTTCCTGGAATAGAAGTTGAGAAGTTGTTATCAGAAGATGCTGGGGAAAGATGTCGCGTCGAATTTTCCGAATTTAAACGTCCTCTTTTTGGACTAATAGGAAAGTTAGATTGATCTTGAATTGTCACTGTGACACAAAGTTGCCGACTGAGAGCGACAGTTGTATGCTGAGGATCTCTTCTTACTGAATTACGATTAGTTTCGATTCCTGAAAATCCTACGAAGACCCGATCAATGTGGTCGAAACCTCGGCCCATGATTCCTTCTCGAGTGTGTCCGAGATCGAAAGTATGACCCAATTCGTGAAGAACAGATCCTAAAGTTGTCGCCAGGCATCCTCCATAAGTGCCTCTATAGTTACTGTCATCCATTAGATGTTCGGCATCAATTATCTTAGTATCAAGAAACTTTGGTAGTACCTAAAGTTAAAAAAAAAACTTTGTAGTCAAAAAGATAATAAAAAAAAGTTAGATAAAGTTCACGTCAACCTTGCAGAAGGCACGACGAAAAAAAATTATTTACTTGCGCCATGGAAGTGGGCCACGTATGGAGACAAGCGGAACCAAATAGAGCAAGTCCACCTCCCCCTAGAGCAGCGTGACCTTGGGTTCTAGCAAGCGTATCTTTGTGAGTCCCAGAATTTGAAGATCCTAGATATCGTGTGCACGAGAGAAAGGCTAAATACTTCCGATCTTTCGACGCTAAGGGGCCAGACATTAGTTCTCGTCCGATGACTTCCCATAGCTCTCTCTGAGACATTTGGCGAGCTTGGTCAACGTTTAATGTACTTTGCATTACTAAACATTCCGGTCCATCGAGGTCTCTTTCTAACTGGAAAGTTTTTCTCCCGTAACCAGCTTCATATAATTTTTCAGCTGTTAGGCTTTGAAGAAGACGTGCTCCCAGACCAATTCTTGTTGCTGCACTCTCCGGAGAACGATCTTCTTCCTTAGGTCCCTGAAAGTATAAATAAGATGAAAAACTTACAGACGGGTTACATGGTAATGAACAGCGCACCCTTCAATTAGTCTTTTTGATTAAAATACCAAATCGAGTCAATAAACGTGAAATAAAAAAAACTTGTTCAGTAACTTCATGTTGCTGTGTGGGCAGAAATAATGAGAAACACGAATTTTAATGTTACATAATTCCCTCTACATATAATTCGAAATAGAACTGTCCACATAATGCATAAAGGAAATCTATTAAGAATTTACCTGAAAATATCCATCGTGTCCAGAGCAAATTACATAAACTGGAGTGACTCTTAATCTTGTATCTCTTGGTTCATGAATTAAAGTGAATTTTGTTTTCGCACGTCCAGCTTCCAGTTCTAATTCATTGATTCCTCTTGTTAGTTCTACAAGAATTCGAAATTCTCCATTTATTATTGGCCATTGGGTATTTAGATTTTTACGCCCTCGAATCAAAATACTGGAACAGGAAACTGGCGCAAAACCTCTAAGTAAAGCCAGACTGTAGAAAACAGTTTCACCTTCGATAAAATTTTTTATTAAGATTTCTTGATTGTTATCATTTTTTCTTATGCATCGACCATAATTATTATGATGTCGATGATTGTTCATTGTTGGTGTGTCTGCTAGGACCTGTAATAAGAAATTAAATAATCATTACATTTATAATATTGAATATTACCCAGTATCAATTTCCTGCACAAGATTACGTACAAGATCATGTGTATTCTCATTTACAGTTAATATTAGAACATTGCAAATGTACATGAAATCGTATGGAAGGCATAATTGAAAACTACTGTACATGTTTACGTACATTTGCTTATACCAGTTTTCCTCACCTAAAGGCATAAGCGCAACTGAGTCAAGTATGTAAGTCTGATAGGGATGTATTTTCCAGCATATGATCCCACACAGCACCAAAGATTTCCTGAAACTCGACAGAACTTCGTTCAGCGAGGTTAGAAACATTGAGTGGCGATGTTCGTGGGAGAATGTGTGGATGTCCACATGAAAGGAATTTTATATATCAACCTTAAGCAAAAATTAAACTCCAAATATTGACTTGCGATGTTCAGTCAATATTCAGACAATATTTATATCCACACATTCTCCCATGAACGAGGTCCTGTCGAGTTCCAGGAAATCTTCGGTGCCAGGTGGGATCTTATATGAACAACCCCACACATGAGAACCTTCTTGGGATCCTATAGGAGTTCGAGTTTAATCTATAGACTGACGGAAAACCTAAATAAAGATTCTAAGGAGCACTTAAACCAAATAATATGAAACATGTTACTCGGGATTCTCGGGGTCGTTCGTTATGAATCTAACATCAAAGAACGATGCCGAAAAAGGGTCAAATTCTGCCCAGAAGGGGAAAGTAAAAAAAGAGTATATTTTCTTAATAGCTTTTACCTTGCTGAATCCGAAAATAATCATTAAAAAGTTGCATACCTTGGGGAAAGGGTTGAAAAACTACCCCTAAGTCAGATATGTCATTAATGCCTGATAATTGAAAATTACATATAATTTTTGTAAAAAGCGGACTATCACTCAGCACTTAAATTTCCTTTAAATAATGTCAACAGAAATAATAAAAATAATTGCACTCTATCCAAATAAAAAACTACCACCTCTGAGTCCCCTAAAGTTCGAAAATTACTAAAATAATTTGAAGTATAAGATAATGCTACTTACTTTCAAGTCATCATTTTCATCCAACATATAACAGAGCAACCCTCTTACATGTCAAAAAACCACCCTCGCATCATCCCTTAAAATCCAAAGCACCATAAAAGCCTTAAGTATCAAAAAATAAAATTTATTATTTTCCTGGTTACTTTTTTAATAAAAACAATATTTTTCCAAGTATTATAAAACCTTTAAAAAACTACCCTTCTTTTTATCCCTTATACATAAAAAAAATTTAAAGATCCTAAAATATTTATTGATTATCTACAGTCAACGGTAAAATGATTGGAATATCCAATCAATGAAGATAAGATGTGCTCTGAACAACCAGTTAAGGTAAAATCATCGAAATATTCATTCAGTGAATATATGACAAGGTGCCACCAAACAGTTTAGGTAAGATCATTGGAATATCCAATCAGTGAAGATATGATAAGGTGCCACCAATCAGTTAAGGTAAAATCATCATACCTTAACTGTTTGGTGGCACCTCATCTTATCTGCAGTGATTAGATAGGGGGAAGTCCCCTAGTACCGGACACCTAAGGTTTTCATGAAATAAAATTAAAACTACTTCAAAAAATATGACTTCATTTATGAATTAATTAACTCTACAATATATAACACCAAAATCAATTAACAAAAATAGAATATTTTGATAAACTTTTTTTTTAAGTTCAATTTAGTTTTGGTATCGAAATACTACAATTTTGAAATTGTCCCCTACACGGAAAAAATAATAGCACAAGAGATGCGCCAAACAGTAGGACAAGTCGTGTGCGTTAATTCAGCGCGTCTGGTGTGCCTTTTTGGAACAGCAGACAAACTTTTTCGGTGCAGACGCTGTGCTTATAAAATGTACAAGCTGTAAAGCACAGCGCCTGCGCCAAACTAAGTATGTCTGCTGTTCCAACAAGGCACACCAGACGCGCTGAATTAACGCACACGACTTGTCCTACTGTTTGGCACATCTCTTGTGCTATTCTTTTTTCCGTGTAGTACCGGACAGTCTAAAACTTTTAATTTTACGCGCAAGATATTATTGAGAAATGATTCAGCGATCAAAGACTGTATTCTTGCTGTATAAAATGAAGTGTTATTGCCAAAGATATTGTAAAATAAAATCACTAACTTTAGAAAGAAAATTTTTTCCTTATTTTTATTTTTTATTTAAATTTTACAGTGGATCCTACCAAAAACACATTCACATTAAGTGTGTGATTGGTTCAACGAATATTCCTGTCTAATATATTCAAATAAAACAAAAGTGACTTAACTATTCACTTATTGGCTGAGTTTACCTACAAAAACCAATTTTTTAACTGTCCGGTACTAGGGGACAAGCAATCCTCAAAATTATGTTATTTTATACTAACACCGTTAAGAAATTTAAAAAAACCATCATAACCATACAACTCGATGGTGAGAAAAGACGCGAAAATGAAATGTTTTAAGTGTGGGAAAATCGGACAACGAGCGAGGAACTGCCGAAGTGAAAAAATTTCAGTAAATAAAACCGCGAGTGTAAGTGAAGAAGACATAAGCTTATTCACAAAACACTTTAATCCGACAACGGAAAAGAATATGATAATCACGTTCTAGATCAGATTCTTTTGATAAACGGAATAGTAAGACTTAAATTGTCGCTTCCTACAACCCGGAGCAGACCGGAGTGTCAGAGCGATGGAACAAAACGCTCATGGAAACCGCGAGATGCTTTTTGATAAAGTCCGGTATTTTTTTTAGGTTTTAGGCTGAAGCTGTCAGCATAGCAAACTTTGTGCGAAACAGATCACCATCCAAAAGATTGGAGGGAAAGACACCTTTTGAAATGTGGCACGGGAAGCCTCTAAATGCTTCTGACTTTAAACGCTTCGCATCTCAAGTAAGTCTTTGTGATGAATAGATCACCTAGAATTGGAAAATTAGAGCCGCCTTCCCGCGAAGGTGTGTTTGTCAAGAACACAGAAAAATGGACCAGAGACAATAGTGAAATTTTAAAATTTGGCCTCGGTTTATCAAACGTGTTTGATATGAAAGATCCCCCACAGCACCGAAACTTTCCTAAAAATTTATTAAATATTTACTTGCAATGTTCGGAATATGTAATTGCAATGTTTATTGAAAGTTGTGTAAAGATTAAAATGTCCCGATTAAATAAATGTTTAGCGCGTAACTTTCCTGAACATGTAAATTACATTTTCGCCTAATTACCTACGACTACCCTGCCAAAAATCGCAAGAAGCGTCATTCTTTATCTAAGATTAGAAGCGTAAAGATTGATTGATTTATGACTGTCCCGATATGTGCTTGTAGATTTTCTGAGATCTGAGAAAATTTTGTAATACGACTGCATTCGAATAAGAGTCGATATTCGATCAGGTTTGTGATTAATCCCGTGTAGAAATTGAAAATAGGATTTAGTAAGGCCCTGAATAGACGTCCTTTCGTTTAGTGAGGCGCAAACTAGGAAAATTAGTCAGGACCCGTCTAATTTCGTCACGCTTGAAATATCAGGTGATGATGTGGAAAGATAGAGAGGTTCTAACTAGATTGCCTTGTCACTGCCTGAATAGAAAAGCACAATGTGGGGATTTAACTAGAGGGCCTCTTTAGCGCCTCATTAGTTTTTCTAAATACATAGGCAAAAATTTACGACAGGCGTAATATTGCGCCAGCAATACTAAACAAGTTACTGAACAAACACACATGTAAACAACACTGTTTTGACCAATCAACCTATCACTAACTTAACACTAACATTAACGCATAACTAACACTAACTCGCACGCTATGAATCTACTTTTTCATCGTCCTTATATACTAAACAGAACATTTCTTTAGCGCTTGTGAGAAAAAGTGCAATATTTTGAAATTTAAAAATAGCAAATATTTTTGCTCAAATAGTTTTTATATTTTAAATAGTATTTTAATATGCGTTTAGAACTATTTTTCTGATTAATTTAATTGCTTATTATTTAGAAATTAGGATTTTTCAATTAAATTGAAAATTAATTTAAATACCTAATAGGGGCATAAATAGATACCAGATAGATTTCCCTGTTTAGACAAAAAGAGCATTCTAGTCAGAGCCTGATTGAAAAATTGAATAGGGGCATAAATAGATCTCGTTAGATTTTCCTATTTGGAAAAAGAAGGCATTCTAGTCAGTGCCCTATTATCACCTATCTAGACATTACTAGTGTGGTTGGCCTCACTAAATACTCATCAGTGCCCTCTTTCAAATAAGGTAAAGTCGGGCAATTTTCACACGGGATGTTTATTTTAAATAAATTTTATATTCCTGGAAGTCGATTGATTTTATTTTTGTATTTTCATAATAGGGTTCCCCAACGTTTACCCAAATTTTTGTGTCTTTTTAATTTCATAAAAATTAACTGGCGTCTGAGGATATTTTTATATATTTTCATTTTTCGTCAAATTAGAGCCTCAGCAGCTTTGAATCCGGCCGCGCTGGATCCCAGGTAGAAAAATTTAATGGAAGCCTAGATATATGCTAGCGCCACCACTGGAATTTGCATCCCGTGTAGAAATTGAAAATAGGACTTAGTAAGGCCCTGAATAGACGTCCTTTCGTTTAGTGAGGCGCAAACTAGGAAAATTCGCCAGGACCCGTCTAACTTCGTCAAGCTTGAAATATTAGGTGATGATGTGGAAAGATAGAGAGGTTCTAACTAGATCGCCCTGTCACTGCCTGAATAGAAAAGCAGAATGTAGTGATTCTACTAGAGGGCCTCTTTAGCGCCTCATTAGTTTTTCTAAATACATAAGCAAAAATTTTGGACAGACGTAATATTGCGCCAGTAATACTGAACAAGTCACTGAACAAACACACATGTAAACAACACTATTTCGACCAATCAACTAACTTAACACTAACACTAACGCATACCTAACACTAACTCGCACGCTATGAA